CATTCAAGGCTTACTAAATATGAATTTCATACATTTGTTTTTAAAAATCTCTTCAGGAGTTTCTTATGCAGCTGAGGTTGAGGACTTCAGGCATAGATTATGTTCTATTATTTTGCTAATTAAAGTTTTCTTTAAAACATTAGCAATTTATCTATTAATTGGAATGGTATACATTAAAGAAAAGCATGAATGTAGGAGCACCTTATTATGGTAAGAAATGCCAACTTGAAAAACAGGCAAAAAAGAAAAAAGATGCTGAATACTACAACTACCAGACTGGGTGGATGGGGACTGGGTGGTGTGGTATAGCAATTTGAACCCCAGCTCTGTAACTGACCTAGACTACCTTTTTCCCTGTGCAGCCCACCCCTGGCTTTTTTTCTTGGCTTGCTGGGACTGATTGTTGGGATTGGTGGAGAAGGGAATGTTCAGTAACCAAACAAGTAATAAATGAGATTCTCACTAAGGTTCACATACTGTGACTAAATCTGGAAGTACAACAGCCACTTGTCACTGCCCATCTTTATATAGCAAATAAACTTAAAACCTATACATTACGCTAGGTGTTGGTCAGTAGTGAACCAGATGTGATCTCTACCCTTACTAGAATGATTCAGTGGGAGAGATTTTACACAAATAAATATGCTAATAAACGTGTAATTACAATTGTACTAAATCCTTGGAAGGAAATCTAGTTTTTCGTGGTCTGTCTGGGAAGACCTGTCTGGAGGGATCACAATTAAGGATTAGAAAGAGCCAGCCTGTCAAGAGCTGAGAGCAGGATGGAGCAGGTGGTGGTGTAGGCAGAGAGAACAGTACATGCAGAGGTCCAAGGGAATACACACGTTACTGTTGGGGGAACGAGGGCAAGGCCTGTGTGTCAGAACTAGAAGGAGGGAGATATAGTGTAGCAGGGTGGTCTGGTATCTGAGCCATCTGAAGATAAATACCTGGATTAATACAAAATAACCGATACACTCAACACTTTTCCAGTTACTATTTGATATTCCGGACTATGGTAGTATGTGATGTCATACCTTGTGTGGTGTCCATTTCTTAGTATCTATAAAATGGTTGTTAAGTGTAAACAAATACAAATATTATGTCTTATAAATTCAGTAGTTTGGTATAGTTATTTTGAAGCCTCTAAATAACTGTTTGTGACACTTTATTCATTCCCAGTAATTGACTTCTTAAAGACTTGTTTCTCCATAGAGATACTTGCTCCTTAGCTCTGGGTCACACATTTCTCTCCCTTTTGTCTCTCTGGTCCCTTTCCTTCTCCCTGTTCCTCCTCACTCCCACTTCAACCTCTCCCCCATTCTAGGCATGTGGTGGATAGAAAGCTTTAGAAAATGGCCACATTACTCAGAAACAATATTTGACTTAGTGTTCTTTACACAGATACATTGCTTGACCTATTGGCGTCACTGTGTCATTATATTAAAATACAGAAATTCTGATTTCAGTTTTTCTTATTATGGCAGGAATTGGTAGAAAAAGAGAAAAATCTGTAAGTAAAAAAACTATAAGTAAAAATTAAAAATCTTTAAGTAGAAAAGATTATTATTTTATTGTGTTGCTTTTAAGAATATATGTTTGCATTTAGCTATAAACAAATGGTAGTAAAATAGACCAGTATATTTGCTCTTATATCCTTTTTAGTGAGAAACTGCCTAGTTCGTGGTACAAGTGTATTAATTTTATGAAAAGTCACAAGAGGACAGTGTTGGCTCTTCTAATATTTTATTCTGTTTCAACTTTTGTACAAGTTTTGTATATTTCTTTGATGCATTTTATTAAATGAATCAATTTCTGTGGTACAGTTTTACATTATCACAATATATTATCTGAAGTTTAGCAAAGTTGTTGAAGTGTAGCTGAACTTTGAATAAATTGTATCAAATGTTGAAGTGAATGTCTTAAAGTCAATAAAAATAGAATACTACCACTGAATTTTTGTTTTGATTGAACTGCTTTTCATATTTTCTTAAAGGAATTTGCATGATTATAAACCAATAAGCACTAAATTAATTTTAAATTTTATAGTGCCCTTGATTTTGAAAAAAAAATTCTGTTCTCTTCATTGTTTTGTTCTTCCCTACTAAGAGTAGCTGTGGTAGGACAGGACCTTGCTGGACCCTTCAGTAAGTTTGGCCTTTTCTTTTTCAAACTCCCCATCAGTCATCCATGCATGTCACTAGTGGCATCTAAATCATACCTCTGAGAATTTCATACTGTCAGTCCCGTTGCCTGCACTGACTTCACTTTAACTGGTACTTAACTAAGTGAATTTCCTTTCCTTTCCATGCTTAGGTTACTTATTGCACATGTCAGCAACAATTGAGATGGTCTTTTTAATGAAAGAAGACTACTGTTTTTTCAGTTTTGTCTTTTGAATGAGTTTATTTTCTCCAAGGACTTTGTTAGGCTTTTTTACTGGCATAGATCACTGTTATCGTGTAGATGATGTGACTTAAATATTAAAACTATTATATAGTGTAATTAAAGATCAAGTAATATTTCTATTTGGGGCAGGATGTCATTTAGAAATGATACCATCATCAATTCTGGAATAATTTTTGATGATATTATTAACATTTTAATCTCATTGAGTGCATGTTGTAGACATGCTATTTCAGTGATGAAATATAATTAGTTCTTAGTATGGTTGCAAACTGAGTTTATGGAAAAAAATTTTTTTAAGTTTGTGTAAAAAACATTTCATGCTTAGTATGTGAAGTATTACAGATGTAAAATTGAGAAATACTGTTTGATCTTTAATTATATTCTAAAATACTTGAAAAGCTTCCACAAAATGGGTTGACTTACATATATATATATATTTTTTTTTAATTTTTTGACTTTTATATTTTTTAGTATTTATTTTTAGAGAAGTCTCATTTTGCTTCCTCTTATAAACAAAAGTATATAGGATGAAAACAGCAGTTATGGAACTTATGGGAATGTAAGACATCTAGTCAAAGGTAGATTTTATTTGTCTTAAACATACTAACTTCCTACCAAGTAGTAACTGTATTTGGAACAAAATTTGTTTCTAAAAAGTTTTAATCAGATTGATCTTCATGAACTAGCACTTTAGGAAGATACAATCAGATTTTACTTTTATGATCTCTCAGTTATACAAACAGCCCATTAAGTACTATACCTTCTAGGAGCTTCCGCAGGGCTCGGGGACCTTCCTGTTCAAGGATCTCCGCACAACCTACCTAGAATCTCCCTATTACAATGTTAGGGCAAAATTAATATGCCATTCTTTCTTCAGTAATGGATAGAGACAGAGTATTACCAGATTTCTCAGGCTATTGAGATTAGATGTGATGCCCAGTTCAGTCATGTTATTTAAGTTGTATAAGGTACCCATTTATACGCTGCCCATCTCTGGAGCAAGCCGGCATTTCCTCCTTGAGTATGTACTTTGTTTAACTAAATTACTGTGCTGCTTACCTCTGGAGCATGTGTGAACTGCACTCTTCTTGAGTGTGTACCTTGCCTTATTAAAGTACTTTTTTGGCTTGTTAAAAAAAAAAAAGATACCCATTTACTGAATATCTGATTATTCATTGACTTATTCTGAAACCCCTAAGGGGAAGTACAGATAACTTCTTTATTATTTTTATTTTTTGATCATATTACTTGACAATGTACTTGCTGAAGCTTGTACCTTTTTTCTCTTCTGTCCTCAATTATTCCACTACATGCTTTAAAACATTGGTATTCTAAGAGTCTTTTTCATTTTAGTTCCCTTATTAGTTTTTATAACTTTTTTCTTTGCACGTAATTAGATTCTTAAATCTCTACTCTTTTAATACAACTTTTTTTCTTTCTTGCCTTTATTCCCATCCTTCCCAAAAGCCGCAATTAAGGCATTTTAAATACTTGTTCTGAGTATATTATTATTAAAATGTAATTTTTCTAGTGCTTCTTTAAATTGATGTTAGATAATTTTGATATAAGAATGGATGCACTTACCAGCAGCTTATATGTTCAGTTAAAATTTTATTCATAACTGAAGATATTTAGAATTTTAAACTGTATTAGTATTAATGTGTTTACATGCTATATTTTCTTTTGAGGAAGAAGCATTATTTAAATAGCTTACAAAAGCTTGAACTGACAGTGATAGTATTTAAAAAGTTCCATCAAAGCATGGGTTACAGTAGAACCTTTCTGATAAATATGTTGATAAGTAAATTTCTTTGGCCTTTTAACTTTTTTCTTCAATTAAAAAGTCTGCATTTTCTTTTTTATTTAAGCCTCTACCTTTAAGGAAGTATTATATTAATCTTTATTATAACTTCATTATAAATTATTACTCATTGGCTATCTGACCTTAGGCATTATATTTAAAACTTAAATTTAATTGAATTAAATTAACTTCACATTTTTTCAAGGTAAATTTCAGAACTTGCATGCTTTTTCTTTGCTGTGTTTATTTCAAAATATTCTTTTCCTTATCTAAGGTTAGCTAGAATGTTCTGTTTTGCTATTTGTATTTTTTCTTCTTTAATATGATTAGTACTTATTTTTAAAAATCAAGAGATTTGGGAATTTTAAAAAATGCATTTTCAGCATTATAACAGCATATCTATATACTATCCATTTAAATATATACCCAAATTTAGCAAAATTGATCACTTGCTTGTTCTTGTTCCTATGTTTTTTTTAAACTAAATCTGTTCAGAAAAAATTGATTTCTAATGCTTAAAAACTTTTGTAATGTTTTAGGATAAATGGAGTGTTTTTTTAATTCAATTTTAAAAATTGAATAAAGTTAAATTGTAATTCAGAGACTGTCATACACTATTCGGCAACAGTATGACAAAACTAATGGTTCCTTTCGTGAGAACCTTCAGTGGAAATGTTAGAAATTGCTCATGTGTCTGTAATACCAGAGTTGATTTTCCTTAGGTGATTAGAAAGTTTTATTCCAACATTTTGGTGCCAGATGAAGAACTTTCTCTATTTGTAATTTATAGATTACCAGTCCTACAACAGAATGGAGCCCCAGCCACCCAGGAGAGGATGCAGTGGCCTCTTTTGCTGATGTTGCATGGGTAGTTAAAGAAATAGGAGAGTGTTCAACAAGACGAAGGTGAGTCTGGAAGTCTGTCAGAGCTGAATTGCAATATTTATTATTTTAAATAATTAGCAACATTTCCTTTTAATAGCCTAATTTATTTAGTTTTATTTGTTTAATGGATATACAATCTTACATTAGTTTCAAGTATTCAACACAGCGGTTCAGTGGTTACTATATTACTAAATCTTCCCCCCACTAGTACAGCTACTATCTGTCAACATAGAAAGATGTTATAGAATCATTAGTTATATTCTCCATGCTGTACTATAATCCCCATGATCAGGCTACATTATGATTAAGAATTTTTGTGCACCTTTATCCCCCTCAGACTCCTTACCTACCCACCCTAACCCTTCCCCCATGGTAACCACCAGTCCCTTCTCAGTGTCTGTGATTCTACTGCTGTTTGTTCATTCTGTTTTCCTTTGTATTTATATTCCAGAAGTAAGTGAAATCTTATGGTATTTGTCTTTCTCTGCCTGGCTTATTTCACTGAGCATAATACCCTCTAGATTCATCCATGTTGTTGGATTTCTTTCTTTCTTTTTATGGCTGAATAATATTTTATTGTGTATATGTACCACATCATCTTTATCCATTCATCTGTTAATGGACACTTAGGTTGCTTCCATTTCTTGGCTGTTGTAAATAGTGCTGTGATAAACACAGGGGTGCATATATCTTTCCAAATCAGGGATTTTGTTTTTTGTTTTTTTTGGGTAAATTTCTAGAAGTGAAATTACTGGGTCAAATGGTATTTATTTAATAGCTTAATTTGATCTCTAGTAACCCGCTTGGTTGTTTTTCTGGTGTAGTCTTCTTTTCTGCTAGTATTTATGAAGTTCCTAGAGTCATATAACTGACCTGATGAATTACAGAATTCCTTCCCCTCATGAGTTTACATTCTAACATGAGAGACCAGAAAGAAGTATCATAAATATGTTAGATGAGCAGAGTAATTAAATGGTTTTATTGGGGCAAAGGAATCAATGAGGGCCATATTTACAAAATTAGTGTAATCATTGGAGAAATGTTTCCTAAAAATTGTGAGTCAGGATGAGTTTTGATTCAAAAGAAACAATGAGTAAGAGTTAGAGAGGCGCTTCCATTTATTTGAAAGAGCCTAAATAAATTATCGACTTCAATAATCCTTCAATCTAATAAACAGTTATTCAGTGTATTATTCAACTCTTCATTCTTATTTTAGGTGTCAAGGTTATAGAGATAAAATAAAACACAGTCCCAGCTTTCTAGGAATACTTAGTTTGCTAGAGGAGATTAAAAAAGGAAATCAATAATATTGATACTGTAGGGTCTACTAAGTAAATAGACAAGTCCACTGTAGGATGAGAGGTTTAGCAAGGCTTCTCAGAGTAGGGGATGCCAGAGGGGAGTGATAAGGGTCAAGAGGGGCTAATCAGATAGGAAGGCTGTACTTGAGGAAAAGTGAACAATATGTTTAAAGGTACTGTATAGGAGTTAACGTGGCTTATTTAGGAAAGTCCAAAATGGCTCAGTGGAGTTAGAGAGTCACAGAGAATGGTAAGCTGTAGGAGATGGATATGGAAAGAAAGTATGTCAAGGTTTAAAGGTAATGTATGTTAGGCTAAGAAATTCAGACTTCTTCCTGAAAGCAATGTAGAGGCATGGAAGAAATTTAATCAAATTTGTGTTTGAGTTAAGTTTCCCTGTAAACAGAATGAAGAACATAAGGGAGCTAGCCAGGAAATAGGCCAAATAAGAGGTGATAAGAGTGTGACTAAGGAAATTGACAGATTCATGGAAGAGAGGGACAAAGTCAGGAGATACTCAGTAGTATTGAAAAGACTTAGGAACTTCTTAGATATTGGAGTTGAGAAGGGAAGAGTCTAGGTAACTCTCAGGTTTCTGGCTGGGTTAATTACGAGAATAATGGAACATTTCATCGGAATATAGGAAAACTTTTTTTTTTGGTAGGTGGGAATAGGAGGAGGTAGTCCAATGTAGAATATGTTGTGTTTGAGTTTTCCTATGTGACAGTGACATTGCTCTTCAGTTTATGTAGCTAGATACTGATAAAGAATGGTTGTACTTCAGCATGTAGATAGAATGGCTAATAGATCCAGTGCTGAAGGAGTACATATAAGACATGAAGAGCATTTATACCCTGGATAAAGCTAACATTTGGGAATGAATCAGGATAAAAAAGAAAGAGAAAGAGAGGAACTACCCTCACCCCACCAAGGAGCAGCTCTAGAGGCAGGAGAACTGTCAGAGGCAGGAGAGTTTCATGAAAAGAGGAGTAAGCTCTTAGAGGAGTAAGTCATTAGTGTTCAGTACTTAAGAGGCTGGGGAAACCAAGAACTAGCAATTTTTGTTTCACAGTTGGAAGATTATTATTGATTTCAGCAGGAATAATTTCATTTGAGTGGTATTAGCTGCATAAAGTAAGAGTTATGTAATCCAAGATCAAATAAGAAATTTGATTTAAATGTCAAGTAGCATTGAGGACATAGCAGTAGGTTACCAAAAACCAGGTATTGCAGGACTAGCAGGTAGAGTGCTTTTTTTTAAAGATGTTTATTTTATTTGTTTAATTAAACTTTTTATTTGAGATAATTGTGGATTTTTCACATATAGTTGTAAGAAATAATACAGAAACATTTCCAGTACTGTTTGCCCAGTTTTCTCTAATGCTAACATTTTGCTAAACCGTGGTACAGTATTAACATCCAGGATATTGACACTGGCAAAGTCAAGATGCAGAACATTTCTGTACCACAAGTATCCTTGTGTTGCCCTGTTGTGCTGTCCCTACCACCCCCCACCCCGCCCCACTTCCTTTCCAGCTCCAACCGCTCCTAATCAGTTTTCTCTTTTCACTATTTTGTCATTTCAAGAATGTCATATAAGTTGATTCATACAATATACAACTTTTTGGGACTGGCTCTGTTTTCACTAAGCATAATTCTCTAGTGATTCATCCAGATTGTTATTTATATCAATGGTCTGTTTCTTTTTAGTACTGAGTAGTATTCCTTGGTATGGATGGACAACATTTTGTTTAACCAAGCACTAGTTGATGGAAATATGGATTGACTCCAGTTTTTGGCTCTTATGGATAAAGTTGCTATAAACCTCTGTGCATAGGATTTTGAGTGAATGTATGTTTTCATTTCTCTGGGATGAATGCCTAGGGAATGTAATTGCTGGATCATATGAGTCATAAGATAGTTGCATGCTTAGTTTTTAGGAAACTGACAAACTGTTTTCAGGAGTGGCTGCACCACTTTACATTCCCACCAGCAATGTGTGGATCATTGAGCCTCTCTACAGTTTCACCAACATTTGGTGTTGTCACTGTTTGTTTTACCCTTTTTTTTTTTTGCCATTCTAATAGCTGTGTAGTGATATTTCATTGTGGTTTTAATTTGTGTTTCTTTAGTAGCTAATGTTGAGCATTTTTTTTCATGTGCTTTATTTTCCATCTTTATATCTTTTTTGGGTGAAATATCTCTTCATGTCTTTTTCCCATTTTCCAATTGGCTTTTTTTTCAAGTGTTCTTTATGTATTCTAGGTAAGAGTCCTTGTCAGATAGGTGGTTGTAAACATTTTCTCTCACATAAATTGGGACAGTTAAAGGCTTCTTTTTTCATTTATTATGGATCGTGCTTTTGTTGTCAGAGTAAGAATTCTGTAAAGTTAGAGCTGGAGCCTACAGGCCTCCTCTTTTTGTTTTTTGGTTTTTTTTTTTTGTATTTTATAGTTGTTTTACATTTGTGTAATCCTTTTTCTGGTTTGATATCAGGGTAAAACTAACTTCATAAAATGAATTGGAAATTGTCCCTTTGTGTTTTCTGAAGAGATTGTGCAGAACTGGTGTTAACTACAAGTCCAGTTTGTTTAATAGTTATGGGACTGTTTTATTAATTTCATGTTAATCATTTGTGCTTTGCAAGGAATTGGTCCATTTCATCTAAGTGGTCAGATTTATGTATGTAGAACTGTTGTAGTTTTTCCTTACTACCTTTGATGTCTACAAAATCTGTAGTGATATACCCTGTTTCATTGCTAACAATAGTGATTTCTATCTTCTCCTTTTTTTTTTTAAGATTTGTCAATTTTATTAGTCTTTTCAAAGAACCAGCACTTGCCTTGATTTTTCTCTTGTTTTTGTATTTTTTCAGCTTATTGTTCTTCTCCTATTATTTTCTTCTTTCTGCTCTGTGTTTTGTTTTGCTGTTCTTTTTCTAGGATCTTGCATTACCAATTTGAGACTTTATCCTTTTTTCTAATATGGTAGTCTCCCCCTTATCCTTATCTCACACCATCACAAGAAGGGTGAGTACAGTAAGGTAAAATATTTTGAGAGGAGACCACATTCACATAACTTTATTACAATATAATTGTTATATTTTATTATTACTGTTCTTAATCTCATACTGTGTCTAATTTACAAATGAAACCTTATCATAGGTATGTGTATATAGGAAAAAATATGGTATGTATACGGTTCAGTATTATCAAAATTCAGGCTTCCCCTTGTAACATATGTCCTGCAGATAAGGGGGGACTACTATACAAGCACTTTGTGCTATAAATATCCTTTTAAAAACTGCTTTAGCTGCATCCCACAAGTTTTGATATGTTGTATTGATTTTGATATATTTTGATCCCATTCATATATTTTTTAGTTTCCCTTGAGACATCTTTTTTGACCCAAGATGATTTAGAAGTTTGTTTTCAAATATTTGGAAATTTGCTATATTTTTCTGTTGTTGAGTTTTAGTTTAGGTCTGTTGTCAGAGAACACACTGTGTATTCCCATTATTTTATATTTGTTGAGTTATTGTTTAATGGTCCAGGATATGTGCCACTTCGCTTTATTTTCTGTGGGTACTTAAAAAAAGTGTATTCTGCTGTTGTAAGTGGAATGTCTATAAACGTCAAATAGATTCTGTTTGTTGGTGGTTTTGTTAAATTCTCCTTGAACTCTTCCTTATTTTCATTTTGTTCTAATAGTTCTTGAAAAATGTGTGTTCAGGTCTTCAAATGTATTTGTGAATTTGTGTATTCATTCTGTTCTATCAGTTTTTGATTTACGTATTTTGGAGGACTGCTGTTTGATGAATACACATTTAGAATTGCTATGCCTTTTATCGTTTTACTATTATGTAATGTCCCTCTTAATCCCTGATCAGTTTCTTTCCTTTTAAGGATACTTTATTTAATATTAATATAGCCACAACTGTTTTCTTTCGTTGTATGTTTGTATAATATATCTTTTTTCTATTCTTTTACTTTCACCCTGCCTATATCATTACATTTATTTATTTATTTGTTTGTTTATTTACTTATTAAATTTTTTGGGTCATCCATATTTGATGTCTGGTTTTGGTTTTTGTGTTTTTATATTTGCTTTTGTTTCTTGAAATTTTTTTAATTCTACACAGAAATTCCAGAAACACTATTTCTTTTAGTTTGGATAAATCCTGCCTCTCTATTCTAATTCTTAGTAGCCCTCTATTCTGAAGGATGGCCAAACAAATTGGTTCTGAGAATGAATTATTTGTTGACTGTCTTATAAAACACATCTGTGGGAAAAGGATTGTGTTTCTACTCTTAAAGGAAGGGATTTGTCAGAATTTTCATAAAATCTAAGCATTTTCCACACCCAGGAATGTTACACAGCAGCTCTTCTGTTGCTGTGTTTTGTTCTCAAGCTTCTGTAAATGTCACCTCTCTCCATGTCTTTAAGAAGACATGATCATTTCAGAATTTTTTCTTCATCTTCTAAAAATCCACATTTAAACTTCCACATTTCCCGTAATTGCTTTGTTTGAGCCCATAGCCATCAACACTATTTCATATAGGGAAATGTAGAATCTGTATAATTAAAGTTATAAAAATACTACACACATAAAATACAGATGATCTGACACTGTTACTTAACATATTTTGCTAAAGGACCTAAACGTTTTTTCTTTTGCTGGTATGTTGGTTTTCAAGATTAATGAGTGCTTTGTACTTAATTTTTAGTAGCTGGAAAAAAGGTTAAAATTGATCTGTAGGAGTTAATGGGGAGATATAGAAGCTTAATTCTCTTTTTTAACATTGTAGTTACTGTTGAATATTCATTTTCTCTTACAATTTACTTTGGATAGAAGATATTTTAAAGAAAGTAAGCTATTCAAACATGTAGTTGATCTCTTAATCAAATTTTCATATTTCAATTCTGGATGTTGAAGAGTAAAAAATGTTCATGGGATTTGAAGATTGGCGTAGGTGAATGGCAACATTTTAAAATTTGTAAGCACTTATTATTTTTGGATCTCATGATGTGTAGGAGAATTTTAGGGAGGATAAACTCTACTAAAGTGAGCCATAGTTGTTGAATAGTAATCATTTTTTGTTTAATTGCCCTAGAGATTGTTAAATCCAAAATTTAACTTTATTTGCTGTTGTTATATACACTTCCTGAAATCTCTGCACTCATACATAGAATGAAAACAAACAATGATCCTCACTTCCACTCACAGACATGAATACAGAATATATTCATTCTTGGGTGTGTTTTGATGCACAAAGCAAAATTAATCTTTCATAAAAAATGGAAGGTGGTAGGAATAGAAATGAGTCTTCATTCGCAGGTTCTGTGTTTCTCCCTTCTACTCCCTTCCACTTCTGCCCCAGTGCCCCTCACCCCTGATGTCCATGGCAGTGGTGTCCGTCCTGCATCCTCAGAACACTCGACTGCTGATCGCTGTCTGACTCTGAACTCAGTCTCCATTACTATTACTTTTCCTTCTTTCTCTGCTGTTTTAATTCTACATCTACTTGAGATTTCTTTATTTTACCCAGTTCATGTTTTAAACACTAGAATTTTATCATTACCACTGTCCTGCCCTCCAGCAGTTTCCCGAGTTCTTTCAAGAAAGTTTTTTTAAGAAAATCATTATTGTCTTCAGTTTTATTAAAAACATGAAATGTTAAATTAAAATTATAGCAGAAGAAGCATATTGGGAATATTGGACATTATCCTGATATTAAATACAATTACTCTATGCTAATATCCCTCCCCAAAACCTTAATTCAATAGATTGACTAATTTCTATCTACTTGTAACATAGTATATTCACTGAAGCGTAGAGCTAGCTGTTTAACAGAATTACTTGACCTGCCCTATGACAGGTCTGCCCTATGACCTGCCCTATGACAGGTAGGTACCAGTCAGAATTTAGCCTGTTATATCAACAAAAAGCCACAGTGATTTTTTTTCCCAAAATTTTAATGTCTCATTACAATTATTTTCTTCAATACAGGTTGATTAGAGCACATGCCATCTAATCTGTAACTTACATAACATAATTTTTCAAAGAACATATTATAAAATATCTAATAAAGCATTCATACTGTTCCTTATAGAAGTTTTTACCTCTGTTTAATTTTCTGCTGATCGCTGTCTGACTCTGAACTCAGTCTCCATTACTATTACTTTTCCTTCTTTCTCTGCTGTTTTAATTCTACATCTACTTGAGATTTCTTTATTTTACCCAGTTCATGTTTTAAACACTAGAATTTTATCATTACCACTGTCCTGCCCTCCAGCAGTTTCCCGAGTTCTTTCAAGAAAGTTTTTTTAAGAAAATCATTATTGTCTTCAGTTTTATTAAAAACATGAAATGTTAAATTAAAATTATAGCAGAAGAAGCATATTGGGAATATTGGACATTATCCTGATATTAAATACAATTACTCTATGCTAATATCCCTCCCCAAAACCTTAATTCAATAGATTGACTAATTTCTATCTACTTGTAACATAGTATATTCACTGAAGCGTAGAGCTAGCTGTTTAACAGAATTACTTGACCTGCCCTATGACAGGTCTGCCCTATGACCTGCCCTATGACAGGTAGGTACCAGTCAGAATTTAGCCTGTTATATCAACAAAAAGCCACAGTGATTTTTTTTCCCAAAATTTTAATGTCTCATTACAATTATTTTCTTCAATACAGGTTGATTAGAGCACATGCCATCTAATCTGTAACTTACATAACATAATTTTTCAAAGAACATATTATAAAATATCTAATAAAGCATTCATACTGTTCCTTATAGAAGTTTTTACCTCTGTTTAATTTTCAGTACTTTTATATAAATTTCATCACCTGTTTTTTCCCAGTGTGGGGCTAAGAAAGGGAATGGTAATTGGAGATTTCCAAGCCAAACATACTTCCCTGTTCTACAAACAATCCAAATCAAATAAAATTAATAAAGTTAGTATTATTAAAGTTGGTTGCTAGGTAAGCTAGGGTTAGGTAACAACAGAGATTTATTCTCCAGATATTTTTGTGTAATAATTTATTAAGCAAAATAGGTAAAAAACAATTTGCAGACACCCCCCCATGTATAATAGTTTAATTAGCAGGGCATAACCAAAATTAGATATGAAGAAAAACACCTTGATTCAGTGAATACCAAAAGCTAAAGGTCCAAGAATTCTCCCATTCAAAACACAAGACAGAATGAAGAATTACCACAACTCTCAAGCAAAAATAAATAATACCAATATCCAGTTAGAGGAGAACTAAAATAGAATTTAATGTTGGTGAATATTATAACAGGACTAAGTTTGACATGTAACAGGGACATCCAAAATAATGGTGACTTGAACAGAGTGGAAGTTCATTTTTCCCTCAAGGTAATTAATTTTTCTCTGAGATCAAAAACATCCAGAGTAGCTGGTGCTCTGCCATGCTTAGCATTGGTGTCCGTGCCCAGGTTAGCTGCTGGCCCTCTGTGCCTCTCAAAGCCAGTCATCACCTTGCAGTCAGGCTCTCAGGGAGGCAAAGGCAGTGGGGCCGAGGGGAAACACTTTCTGGAGGTGTCATGTGCCTTTAAGCAGCCTACCTCAGTTGCTTACTAACATTCTGCCTACATTTTATTAGCCAAAACTGTCTTATGACCACAGGAAACAGGGAAACTGGGATGTTAATTAACTTGATTGTGGTAATTATTTACAAAAGTAAGTGCATATCAAATAATCATGTATACCTTAAGTTACAATACTTAATTGTCAGTTATATCTCAGAAAAGCTAGAAGAAAAGAAGAATAGCTTAGAGGCCAGGAGAACCTAATTGCAGAAAACAGGAAATGGGTAAGTATATAAATTAACAGTTGAAAAGAAATCTGGATTTTATTCTCAACCCAAAACAATTGTTTGCTGCTATGCAGCTGTACACATTAAAAAACTTTTTTGTTTTACACCCAAGTGAAAATGAGACATTGGTCTATCTAGTTTTCTCTTTTTCAGTTTCTGATGCTTGGTCCCTTACTGTTATAATGTCTTGCAATTTAATGTGTACTATCATATGCGGAAGGCACATTGAAATGCAGAAGCCGAGACCCTGGGGAAGGGCTAATGGATTACTGATTTGATTTTGTTGTCAAATACAACCAGTAGTTAGTTTGCCATTTTTCAGAGCATTAAAAAGTTTCTTCACCTTAGCTCAAACAAACATGAACTAGCAAAAACATTGTTGGACTCTGTCATGTCTCCTGGCAGTGTTGGCTTGTGCATGTCATATGCAGATTGAGTGCTGGCTGCAAGAAACCCAGCATGGAAGGTAGCTACATCAGGTTGACAGGTGCTTTGTAGTTTGAGATTTACAGGAAGGGATTTATAAGGTCAGATGTGGTTCTCAGATGTTCTGTTCTGATTAATTGGCAACGATGATTTTACATACGCCATTACACAGCCCCTGACAGCCACCTTCTGTCTTAATTGCAGGACAGAGATCAGGTCAAGGCAGCCCCTTCAGGATGACCTTCCTTTCTTCGAGAAGCCCCCAGGCAGGCAGTTTTCCTTACCAAACCTGAGTCCAGAAGAGCCTCAACTAAAGACTCCGACACTAGCCAATGAGGAAGCACTGCAGAAGATCTGTGCTCTTGAGAATGAACTTGCTGCTCTAAGAGCTCAGATTGCCAAAATCGTGACCCTGCAAGAACAGCAAAATCTCATTGCAGGTCTGTAAGTCCTACATTTGTTTTAACCATAAAACTGGAAGTAGCGCTAATTGTAAAATTTGTTTGCAAGTAACAGCCATTGGGGTTGTCAGAAAATCCAGGGACTCCTTGCAGCCTGGACAGGACCTACGTGTATAAGTGGTGGTTTGTGCTGTCAGAGAAGATGAGTCAGTGTATTTGGAAAACACTGGAATTCATACAGGAAGTTGTGGCTCATGTGAGTCCCATGGGAAGCTCAGTTGTCTATGAGGATAACACCAATCACGTCAAACACGAGGCAGTATCAGAACAGCCCTGCCAGGGTTGAGTGCTCTTTACTTGCATGCATGTTCTGGATTTCTGCCTCCCTTTCATTTTCTAAAATGGGGATAATAGCACTTGTGTTATGGAGTTATTGTGGGAGTAAATGTGATTATTTAAAATGCCTTCAGCACATAGTAGCTACTTAATAGTCATTTTCTCTTCACCAGAATAGACACTGGATTCAGGTCTTTTGACTCCTGGTCTAATACTGTTGCTTTTATTAGTGTGGCATTGTCACCTGGGAGGAGAAACCACAGCCTTGAAATCCTAGCCCATTAATCTGCTGGCAAGTCATGGTTGTTTTTCCTAGTTGTTCCTGAGTCCTGGTTGGACTAAAGGGCGGGACGGTTACTCTGCCTCTGAACCACTTCACTTGTTCTTCTGGAGTTCACTGTAATCGTCCACGGAAACCTAATCCCACCTGAGTCTGGCCGAGCTGGACAGAGGGCACGTGCACTCCCGGCACCCAGTGCCTGGAGTCGTCAGTGTTGAACTTTTTAAAAACCAAAAATCCTGCCCTTTTCTTCTTTTAACTTTAAATTGCATTTCTGTTTTGCTTTACTTCCCTCTTCTGGCAGACTAAGAAAATGCTGTAAATAGTAATTTGGGGATTTATGTTAGATGTTCTCTCTTTACAGTCTCAGTCCCATGAGTAAACTCTTTTGCATCAAGTTCCCCCTAATCACTATATTTCACCTAATGAACACCTCTCTAACCTCTAATTATCCGGTGAATTTTTTTGGTCATTAATAGCTATTTTAACTTGTAGTTACTTCCTGTTTTGGCAGTTAAATATAATGCTTTTTTTTCTTCCAGGAATTTGTTCAAGAATAAATGGAAAACTTTTCTTTTAGGTGCATCCTGGTCAGTGCAGGCCTTTAATGTTTAATAAGTCCATTTTAGGCATATTTACGTGGGGTTATTGTGGGAGTAAATGTGATTATTTTAAAATGCCTTCAGCACATAAATATGCCTACCATGTAAATATGCCTAAAATGAACCATCAATTTATCAATAGTTTTTTCAAATGGTTATTATAGTATTAAATTGTCAAACTGTTATGTAGAGTATTTATGCAATTCAGACTGCTTTATATTCCATCTAAAAGAACCTACAAACTGCAAAAGTCAGACCTGAACATATGATAACACAAAAACGTCACTGTTAATTAAGTTAATGGAACCTCTCCATCTGGAGAGTTTGGGATTAAGTGATAAAAGTGAGTGAAATTCAGGCATTTAGATTGTAAGTAAGTAACTAAAACTTCCTTTCTGCTTACATAACTGAGATTCTTTTTAGGAATATTGTTTTCAGGGATATAAAAGTCCTTCACACAATTTTGCTTTTAAAAATATTTTATTTGCCTATTACCATTGTATTAAATTGATATTTCCTTATTTCTGTAGGTGATTTAGATTCTACAACTTCTGTTACCACAGCACCACCCCCTCCACCGCCCCCTCCGCCGCCCCTCCCTCTGCCAGGGCCCCACCCAAGTGTGTCTGCTATTGACCTGATTAGAGAGCGGAGAGAGAAAAAGGCCTGTGCTGGGAAGACTTTGGTGGAGAACAATCCAAAGAAACCTGATATGCCAAATATGCTAGACATACTTAAAGATATGAACAGTGTAAAACTTCGGTCAGTAAAAAGGTGAGGATATTTACTTTCCTTTTCACTTCCCATTTTTTTATCTCTTGTAAAACAAAATACTAAGCTTCTTGAGAACTTTGTTTTATAACATGACTACCATGAATAGTTCTAAGTTTCTAATTTAAAAAGATGGGCCCTAGTGGCTCCTAAGTTAACTAACATTAACTGTATTCAATGTTAAATGCAAAATAAACATTCCCAGGCTACTTTTTTTTATCCCCATCACATTTAAAGCCCTTTCATTTAGTCTTGAGTAAAGCTGTCATGTGCTCTGTGGTACTCACCAGGCTTACAGAGGAGAAGAGAACTGTAATTGCCCTGAAGGAGAACATAATCAGTGCTGTTGATGTGAAGTGAGGGGCTGGTCATTGGGTACCTTTTATACTCTCAGAGCTTTTAATCCATCTCACTGCTATCAGTGTGTGTCAGTATTGAGTATCTTTGAGTTTTTGAGATTTATTGAGTATCTCTGATGCTAGAGAAGTGCTGTCAGGCATGGATAGGCACACAAAGTACTTCCTTGAGGGATGCCAGCATATTGAAATGTCCCCTTGGTTCCTGTTTATTTCTCTAAGGACAGAACAAGATATAAAGCCCAAACCAGCAGATGCTACCGATCCTGCTGCCGTCATAGCAGAGGCTCTGAAAAAGAAATTTGCTTACCGGTATCGAAGTGATAGCCAAGGTGAAGTTGAAAAAGGAATTCCAAAGTCTGAATCCGAGGCCACCTCAGAAACAGTGCCGGTGAGTGTTAGGTCGCTCTGTACAGCATTGCTGAGCACCTGCATTTTACCAAACTTTGCAAGATGCGGAAGGACATGCTACAGAATTTAGTCCCTACCTGCAAATAGATTACTTATACAAGAGCATAAAGAAGGAAGTGAAAGTTAATCCCTGGTTTTACTTCTTAGTATCTCTAATGTTAAATTTTCCATGATGTGTTTTATTTATATTAAGCATAATGAAGTTCATGAAATTCATTATAATAAAACACTTACCTTAGGACAATATGTATGTTGTGATATAGATACTGAAAGAAGCATCATTTTCTCTTAGGGCCCCTGTGAAAGTTTTCTGAAAGGGGTGAGATTTGGCCTGGGTTTTGCAGGATGTGTGCCATGTCACAGGTGGGGATGGAACAGATTTCACACAAGCCCTCAGATATTAATTATTCAGGTTACAAAGATGGGGGCTGTGTGCTTACCTAGTCTTAGAAAGGCAGTATCTTTAAAATCACTCTTTAGACATTGAAATTTTGTACTTCCTTCTTTTACTAAGAGAAGTAAATTGGACTAAGCCAGGGTTTTGCTTTGATGATTGTAGTTTTCTAGGAACTAATAGTGTCCTCTTTGCCTTTGGTTCAGTTGATATGTTGTGTTTATAACAATATGTTGACTCATCACGTTTTTAACATATTATCTAGATAGCTGCATGGTTTTTCATAGGACATACCCAGCCCTTTGATCTATGATTGGGAACAGGGCATATCAGTACTGTTAAGTTAACCAATATCTTTAATACTTTTTGTTTGTTTTTTCTTTCCTAGTTTGGGCCACACATGTTGAAGTCTACAGGAAAAATGAAGGCTTTAATTGAAAATGTTTCAACTTTCTAATAGATATTGGGTTAAGAAAGACTATGCTGGTCCAGCTGTTGGTTTGTTAGGGCTGTTTGGTCAGTAGAAATAAATACAATTTAATAAATACATGAATTTAATATTCAGTGGTCCCCTTTATCTGAGGATTAAGCAGTAACAAAAGCACTCTAAGTTTGTATTTGCATTTATAAGGAAGTCAGTTCTGTTCTGAAATTTTCCATATGTTTTCTGACATGTTTTTAATATGGTGCCAGGGTGTTTAGGTTTCCAGTCTCAAAAACAATTTTATAGATTACAGAACAAGGACAGGACATTTGTAGATGTTTTTAAATCTTAACACTAATTTATCTGTACAAATGTTTTATATGCACGTATTTGGACATAAAACAGTGTATGTAAAATTCAGCAGTGACAGCAGTGAGGGTACTGTTCCCATCATTTGTTTCAGTGACTGTTTACTGTTTGCTGCTGGGAAGGCTGGCAGAACCCAGTTGTTGGAGTGAAGTATTTGATGGAATCTTTGCCTTGAATAGAACTTCGATCTTAAGATTTTCTCTCACATATTCTCGAGATGGTGTTTTGAGTGGGAACCAGATGTTTCCTAATCAAATTCCATAATACTTCCCTTTAAATGGAAGTCAGGGACCATGAAAGCTGCTTTTACTTCATTGCCAGTGTGAGGAAGTGAGGAAGAAACTGGTTTTCGAATAGTGAGGAGTCAGGTTATGGAACTAATTTAAAGTAGAAACCAGAATGTGCCACCTTCCTTTCCTTTCAGTTTAATAAATGGCATAGTAAAGATGACTTGTGGCTAAGTTAATATTTCTGGAAATGTTAGCATAATGGAGTTAAAAAATTTTTTAATATTGGTCAACTACAGTAGTAGCTTTATAATGAAACATTGGACAGGCGAAAGAATTTCCTCTATGTTGTTTATCATTGTTCAGAATGCTGGTCTGTTGGTTTATGTTATGTGACACAGTCCTTAGGCGTTACTAGAAAGTGGAGAACTGCCTTTCTCATCAGGGCTGAAAAAATTGTTTTAAGTCATTGTTTTTAAATGCGTGGTACATTTTCATGATTTTATTTCTGTTAAATAATACTCAGCTATAGTTAATGCCAGAATTTCCTACCATGAGTATTTGGATTATTTAAATATAGCTAAAAAGAAAACCTTGTACTTTCTGGGAGGCTAAGAGATGAGAAGATTAAACATTCACTTCTAAGTTATTGAAAATATGTGTGATGGTCTAAATATTAGAATATAGTAGCCAAGGTAGTTTATATGGTTTGGTTATTCAGCTTAAATTTGAATTGGCTTATTTTACATGTTAATGTACATTGTTCCTGATTTATATGGTTTAGAAATTCTGCCTTTAAAAGAAAGAAAATTCACCTTACATATTTTTGACCTCTTAAATTTGTTACCAGTATTGAATTTTGGCCACTGCTCCAATATAAGGAAGCTACTGTTCTGAAATAAAGCAAACTTTTATTTTCCTTGGACCATAATGCCTATGGCCTATGTGTGTGTGTGTGTGTGTGTGTGTGTGTGTGTGTGTGTGTTTTACAATAGGTAATATTCTTTTATATTGCCCCTGTAACTTTAGAATAATTTGCTTCCTGCATTTTCCCTTAAATTATATCACATCTTATTTACCTTTATTTTTTTATTTTAAAACTTAATATTGTTAGTATTACATGGGTGTTTTTTGAAAATCTTAAATACCCTTTGCATTCTGATAAAACCAGAAGCAGAACATGCATTTTTTTTTAACAATACAGTTCTCTAAAGGTATTTCAACATTAAAAGAGAAGAAAGGCAGTCACTTGGAAGGAGTTTCTCCTCATGATTCTCACACCTATAATATTTTGCCTACTATGATTTTGGATATTCCAGGAACTCACTATATACTCTCAGTGAGTATGAGTCAAAGAGCACTGGACTTGAAGCTATACAAGATCTGAGTATGTGCTTCTGGTCAAGTCAAGTCACACCTCTGTTTTTAAAATGAGAATAATGCTTAGTTAAAAAAAGTGTTTTTGGATTAAATGAAATAATGATTTTGAACAAATTCTATGAGTGTTAGACTGCTGAATAAGTTTTTACTTACATCATTTTACATGAGATCACTGTAGTTTCCAGTAGACTGATTTCTTCTAGAACATGTGGTCCCCTGGCACTTGAAAAAGATGTCATCCTTTGAATTTACTTTCATGGCCATGGGGTTGAATAGTAGGATTTACAGTCTTTAGTTCTGGTTATCTGTCCAGTCATAGGCCCTTCTGTAAAAGAATGCTGTCCTCTTAATGTGAGGGAGGGAGGTCCGTGATGGCACCACAGGAAGAACCTGAACTGAACCCCTCCCACATATAAACCAAATCTAAACCTTTTATTTATTTTTTTATTTTATTATTATTATTTAAAAATAATTTTTTAATATCATGGTATGTCACAAATATGAAGGAAAAACACCACCAGAGCAGAGGACTTAGTTGTGGGATTTAGACTTTTAAAAAATCACATGTCAACGGATTTCTGTATAAAAAGAAAATGATACAAATATTTATAGCCATGTACCTTCTCATTAAGACAGTCAATTAAATTTTCCACATAAATTTTCATGCTTTCATACAGAGCAATTCCTTCTGACGAAGAACCAAGGGCTGAGTGAAAAGCTTCTGCACAATGCAATAGATCACAGAAAAAAACAGCAGGTGGAGAGATGGAGACAAAGTAATGGTGGGAACCCCACCCCCAGTAGAGAGACATGCAGTAGACAGGGGTAGGGGTACCACTGAGGGACACACATGTGTGTACCACTGAGGGACACACATGAAGATTCACTTTACCTGCACAGTGGAAAAAAGACCCTGTGGTTTAAAGGGCAACTAGACTGTAAGTAAGTGAACAGAGCCAGTTTACAAATTAGAGTCCCCGCCAAATGGCAGGGGAGCTGCTGGAATTCTCTCTTGGATTGGAGGTGCTGGCGAGTACCACTGTTACTTTCCTTCCTCTCCTCACCACACATTCTAGTTCAGATTGGAACGGGGTCTGGATGTGCATTAGCTCCAGATGTACCAAGGCAGCCACTGCACCCATGCCCAAATGTGCCCACCTGGGGTCTGGAGTCCTACCAGAGTGGTACCCTCACAACACTCAACAGGACACCCCTAAGCCCATGCTCACCTGGCCTCCAGCCAACTAGAGCCACCAGGTGCGCATGGTCTATCCCAGGGCCATTGCTTCAACTGAAAGGGGTATCTCTTTCACCTAATTCATAGAAACAACACAAACAAAATGAGACAGAGGAATATGCCTCAAAGGAGAGAATAGAACTTCAGTAAAAAACAGTGAAATGGAGTTAAGCAGTCTACCTGATAAGAGTTCAAAGTAACGGTATAAAGGTACTCACTGGACTTAAGAATAGATGAACTCAGGGAGGACGTCAACAAAGAGAAAAAAAAAATCAGAATTAAAGTATTGAAGAATATAATGAATGAAATGGAAAAGACATTACAGGGGATTAACAGCAGATTAGAGGATACAGAAGATGAGCAATCTGTAAGATAATGAAAAGTACTCAGGCTGACCAGCAAAAAAATAATAATAATAATAATAAAGAAATGAGAATAGGTTAAGGGACCTCTAGGAAAACATCAAATACTAACATTTGCATTACAGGAGTCCAAGAAGGAGAGAGAAAGAAAGGGGTGGAAAACTTATTTGAACAAATAAGATCTCTAAACTTCCTTAACCTGGAGAAAGAAACAAACCTTTATGTTAAGGAGTCACAGAGAGCCTCAAACAAGATGAACCCAATGAGCTCCACACCAAGACATAGTAATAAAATGCCAAAGATTAAAGGTAATCTTAAACAACAGAAAAGCAACTAGTTATGTCCAAGGAAACCCCATAAGACTATTAGCTAATTTTTCAGCAGGAACAGGCCAGAAGGGAGTGGCATGATACATTAAAAGTGCTCAAATGAGAACCTACAACCGAAAATACTCTACCTAGCAAAGTTACTTAAAATTGAAGGAGAGTTTCACAGATAATCAAGTTGAAGGAGTTCACCACCATTAAACTGGCCTTATGAGACATTAAAGGGACTTCTTTAAGAGGAAAAGAAAAGGTCACAACTGGAGGAAAATTATGGAAGGAAAAATTTCACTGGCAAAAGCAAACATAGTAAAGGTAGTAGGATTAATCACTTAAAAGCTAGTATGAAGTTTAGAAGATAAAAATAGTAAACATATCTAAAGAGAACACTCAATAAAAAGTAAATGTGACATATATAAGACATTTGAGGAAGGGGATTAAAAATGTAGTACTGTTAAGATTTGGACTTAAGTGACCATCAACTTAACATAGACTTATAAAAACAGGATATCATATAAACTTCATGATAACCAAAAAAACCTAATAGATACATGAAAAGGTAAAGAGAAAGGAATCTAAATATAATACTAAAGTCATGCACAAAGGAAAAGAGCAAAAGATGAAAGGATCAGAGAAAAACGACAAAGCCACCAGAATTAACTAAATGGCAATAAATACATACTTATGAATAATTAAATGTAAATGGACTAAAAAAAATGCTCCAATCAAGATAGGGTGACTGAATCGATTAAAAAAAAAAAGACCCATCTATATGCTGCCTACAAGAGACTCCAGACCTCATGACATGCTAAGGCTAAAGGTGAAGGGATGGAAAAATATTCCATGCAAATGGAAATGAAAAAGAGCTGGAGTAGCAGGATTTATATAAGACAAAACAGACTTTAAAACAAAGACTAATGAGACAGAGGAAATTACATAATGATAAAGGGTTCAGCCCAGCAATAAAACAAGTGTAAATATCTATGCCCCCCAAGAGAGGAACATCTAAATATATAAAGCAACTACTGCCAGCATAAAGGGAAAAATTGATAGCAATACAATAATAGTAGGGGACTCTTAACAACCCATTTATACCAATAGATAAATCAGACATAAAATCAGTAATGCAACAGCCTTAAATGACACACATTAGACCAGATGGACTTGAGACACACACAAACACACAGTATTCCAACCAAAAAAACAGCAGAATACACATTTCAAGTTCAGATGAAACATCTTTCAGGATAAGTTACATGTAAGACAATAAAACAAGTCTCAGTAAATTTAAGAAGAGTGAAATCACATCAAGCATTATTTTCTGACCACAAGGGTATATAACTTGAAATCAGTTACAAGAAAAAACTGGAAAAACCACAAAGTTGAGGCTAAACAGTATCACTAACCAACTAACGGGTTAAGAAGAAATCAAGAAATAAAAAAATAACGAGACAAATGAAAATAGAAGCATAACAGTTCAAAATCTTCAGGATACAGCTAATGCAGTTCTAAAAGGCTGATAGTGATTCAGGCCTATGTCAAACAAAAAATCTCATCTAACCTTATATCAAAAGGAATTAGAAAAAGAAAAAACAAAGCCCAGAGTTAATAAAAGGAAAGAAATAATAAAGATCAGATGGAAATAAATGAATTAGGAACTAACAACAATACAAAAGAATAAAGTAAGAGCTGATTCTTTGAAAAAATAATTGACAAACCTTTAGCTAGGCTCATCAGGAAAAAAAAAAGACTCAAAAATCAGAAGTGAAAGGATACAACTGATCCCATAGAAACACAATTATAAGAGATGACTAAAAAATTACATACCATTGGACAACATAAAAATAAATAAATTCCTAAAACATGCAATCTTCTAAGATTGAACCCAGAAGAGAGAAAATCTGAACAGACCAATTACTGGTAACAAGAATTGGTAATAACAACAACCTCTCAAAAAACAAAATTCCAGAACCAGATGGATTCACAGGTTAATTCTGCCAAACATTTACAGAAGAGTAAAAACCTATCCTTAAACTATTCCAGAAAGTTGAAGAGGAAGGGATGCTTCCAAATTCATTTTGTGAGGCCAATACCATCCTAATACCAAACCCATACAAAGTACAAAAAAAAAATAGTTACCAATAACCTAGTAAGTATGGACGCAGAAATCCTCAACAAAATATTAGCAAACTGGATTCAAAAATACATTAAAAGGATCATTTACCACAACCAAGGGGGATTTATTCCAGGAATGCAAGGATGGTTCAATATCTGCAGATCAATGTGATATACCACATTAACAAAAGGATGGATAAAATGCATATGATTATCTCAGTAGATGTAAAAAGAACATTTGACAAAATTCAACATCCATTCATGCTAAAAACTCTCAACAAAGTGGGTATAGAAGGAACATACCTTAAACATAATAAAGGCCAATATGACAGATCCACAGCTAACATCATACTTGATGGTGAGAAGTTGAAAGCTTCAGTGTGATACCTAACAGAACACAAATAGCATTTTTTACAGAACTAGAGCTAATAGTCCTCAAATTTATATGGAAACAAAAAAAGATCCTTAATGGCCAGTGCAATCTTGAGGAAAAAAAAAAAAACAGAGC